CAGGAGGCTGAGGCAAGATAATTGTTTGAACCTGGCAGGCAGAGGTTGCAGTGAGCCAAGATCACGCCACTGTACTCCAGCCTGGGCAACAGAGACTCCGTCCCAAAAAAAAAAAAAAAAAAAAAAATTGAAAGCAGGCACTCAAACAATTATTTGCACACTAATGTTCATAGCAGCATTATTCACAGCAGCTAAGAGGTGAAAGCAACCCAAGTGTCTATCAACAGACTTAATGGATAAGAAAAAGGTAGTATATACATACACGGGCATATTATTCGGCCTTAAAAAGAAAGAAAATTCTGGCACATGCTACAATATGGATAAACCTGAAGGCATTATGCTAAATGAAAGAAACCAGCCACAAAAAAGCAAATACTCTATGATTCCACTCACATGAGATACTTAGAGTAATCAAATTCCTAGACACGGAAAGTAGAAAGATGGTTGCTGGGGGCTGGGGACTGGGAGTGGTGAGGAGTTTTGATTAATGGATACAAAATCGTAGTTCAGGAAGGTTAAAACGTTCTGGAAATGGATGGAGGTGACGACTGCACAACAATAGGAAGGTATTTAATGCCACAGAACCATATACTCAAAAATGATTGAAATGGCACATTTTTAGTTATGTGTATTTAACCACATATTTTTTAAAAATGAAGTAGGAGACACAGTACTGGCCTCTGAATTGTTCCTGCTTGTGAGTAGCTTATGCTTTGTCAGGAATTAGGTGCATTCTGGGTTTTTTTTTTTACTCTCCAAATTAAAACATAAAATGGAATATGTTAAAATCCTGTTTTAAGAAGCAGGCAGCTTCCATTTGGGGGAATAAAGAGTGTGTATGTTGACTTTGAATTAGAAGAGAAGGAGAGTAACCCAACACATATTTGTGGATCTGAACCAGAGATGTGCTATAATTATTTATCTGAATAGAAAGGAGGCTGGGTGCGGCGGCTCACACCTGTAATCCCAGCACTTTGGGAGGGCCAAGACAGGCGGATCACCTGAGGTCAGGAGTTGGAAACCAGCCTGGCCAAAAAGGTGAAACAGTCTCTACTAAAAATACAAAAAAATTAGCCAGACGTGGTGGCACATGTCTGTAGTCCCAGCTACTCGGGAGACTGAGGCAGGAGGATCACTTGAGCCCTATGGAGATGAATGGTGATTTGCATCAGATTGGAGATGGAGAAAAGTCATCATAATCTGTTTATATGTTGAAGCTACAGCCAACAGGATTGCCTGACAAAGTGGGTGATAGAAAGAGAAATGTATGGCTTAGGGCCTGAGACACATGAGTGAAACAGTCATTTATAGATATGAGGAAGACGGTGGTAGAACAGGTGCAGGAGGGAAGTCCTATTCAGAAACTCTGTTTTGAACATGTACTCAATAACATGTAAATGGAGATGCCTAATAGGCAGTCGATCAACCACAGGAGTCACAAAAGAGTTCTGGAGTAGAGTCAAGGAGAGCATCAAGGAAGTGAGTCTAGATAGGGAGCAGGACCCAGGGCTGGGCCGGGCATTCCGGCTTTGAGAGGTCAAGGACAAGAGGAGGAATCCAGGGAGGGTACTGTTGAGGAGCAGCCAGTGAGCTAGAAAGAAAACCGGAGGTTGTAGAGAACTGGAAGCCAAATGATTTTCAGTAGAACACTGCCTTGCTGTGAAGAAGACTAGAGCTGGTCAAACCCCAGGTGGGGGTTGGGTCAAGGCTGCTGCAAAATGGGCATCCTTGGATTTGCCTTCTTAACACTCTAAGAGGATTGATAGGCTTCAAGACCATCATCCCCTCAAGATAAATGTCTTTAGTGCTTCCCCCTAGACACTCTGAATTCAATTAGTTTAATTAGAAAACAAGTAAAGAGGAATTATCTTAATATAGCTTTGCTCCTAACAACTCAAAAAAGTCCATTTATTTGGCAGAAATCCAAGTTCCCTCTTTTGTTTATATATTCTGAGATAATGATGTAAATTTTCATTTTTGAGTAAAAAGTTAGACATCTCTCGCTGCATCAATCATGGTTTTGTTTTAGTTTTAATAATAAATAATAAACACTTCCTGATTTCCTCATTTTTAATGAGGTAGAAGCAGTAATGTGCTAGTAATGTTTAAACATCATTTAGTTTTTAAGTTGAGAGGGGGACTGTCTGATTTTTAGTGTTTGCCAATTGCTGTGGTGAAATTACTACCACTATGGCTGATTTCAAACTACTAAGGTGAATCACTGAACTCGGAACTGGGAAGATGCTAACCATAAGTTCTTACAAGCCAGAAGGGGCTGATTCCAGCACACCAATGGGTAGCAGTATTAGCTGTTTGCCAAAAATCCCTGTAAATCTATTGCCAAGGGAATTTTTCCTCCTACAGTGAGGCTACTTGAACTTACATCAGTTGTAAAAGCAAGCTCAGAACCAAGATAATTGGGTTGGTAAATGATGGGGGAGTTGTGTGAAGAGTAACTTCATTGTGTTTGTACAACAAATATATTCCTCCACAATTCACGCAGTGACTTTCTCTAACTATAAGCCTGGGGCATCTGAGTGTAACAGCCTGAGAGCTCAGTATGGTGGTGCTAATGCCAGAGTGCCCAGTGGACAGCCTGGGAGTCTGGGACCTGGCTTGAGTCCAAGCCCTAGTACAAACATTCTGTCTCACCTTGGGCTAACTGCTTAATTTCTCTGGGCCCACACATTTTCACATCTAAAATGTTAAAATGGGGACTAGAAATAAGAGAACAGAACAGATAATAATCAAAGTTCCTTTCTAAATCTTCAATATATGATCCCCTGAAATAACAGGAAACTAAGTGGGAGGGCAGTTTTAAGTGATGTTGTTTCCAAAAACATCATAATCGGGGAACAATGGAAATTCCCAAGGAGGAGACTTCTTGCTAATTGCTGGATGGTCTGCAGAGAGCTGTGGTCCCTATTCTTAGGTGAAAGGAAGGCTTTCATACAGGGTATTACTGCTCAGAAACAACAGCTCCCAACTGCCCTTCATTTCATCTTGTGATGAGATGAAATGTTTGCTTCCATATGCACATCTGAGAGGGCTCTCAATTCAACCCAAAATGTCTACATGAGGCCCATCTCTTTGTTGGTTTATGGTATTTCAGCCATGATTACTATTCACTATACAATCCTTATATCAACATTTGCTTCAATCTAGTCTGAAAATGCTAGAGAATATCCAGATTGACATAGTAAGAGGTAAACTACTATACAGGAAACGTCTTTATCATCTGTGTCAAGGTCATATACTGAAAGTGGCCAAGGATATTCATTGTTAGTTGCCCACATGTAAAAATGGGGTTCTGGTAGGCACCTCTAAGAACATTTTTCTGATATACCTTCTGGGTTGCTTCGAGTAGCTAATATTTCATAAATGAGGGAGATCCGGTAGTGAGAGATGAACAAACATAGTGTATTTTATCTCTGGATGCAATGTCAGTGTCAAAAAGAGCTTAGCTATTGATATTTTTGCGACCATTGCCAGCAACTCGCTCATGATATGCAATGTATAATACGATATAGGGGAGAATTCACAGCATCAAAGGCCAGTGCTGAAAAAATGTATTTTAGATGCTTAAAAATATATAGTTTACAAACCACTGAGAGTGATTTGAAACTCAGAACAGGGAAAATTCCCTAAACTTCATGAGACAGCCTTGGAAAGTTGAATGGTATACTTATTATTATTATTTTTTTTTAGCAAATCTGTAACCATCTTACATAACTTAATAAATTATAGGCTATCCATCATACCTTTCTCATCCCCACATCACTCTGAACTATATTATTGCTGTTACCCTTGACTCCCAAATTTTCTTGCTTTAATTTATCTGCTGGTTCTCTTATGGCCACTGGAGAATTAATGGTGCACGTTAATACGCATACCTTGTTGGGGGTAGCACACGTGGTGGGGAGATGGATGCATTCCTGAGTAAAACACCTAGGTTCAGATCTTGGCTCTACTTGAAACCAGCTGTGTGACCTTGGACATGTTACATAACCTCTCTGTATTTCAGTTTCCTTATCTGTAAAGTAGGGATAATAATAGTGTCTACCGGCCAGGTGCAGTGGCTCAAGCCTGTAATCCCAGCATTTTTGGAGGCTAAGGCGGGAACACTGCTTGAGCCCAGGAGTTAAAGACCAGCCTAGGCAACATGACAAAAACCCATCTCTACAAAAAAAATACAAAAATTAGCTGGATGTGATGGCGTGCACCTGTAGTCCCAGCTTTGCAGGAAGCTGAGGTGGGAGGATGCTTGAGCTCAAGAAGTTGAGGCTGCAGTGAGCTGTGATCATGCTACTGCACTCCAGCCTGGGCAACAGAGCCAGACTCTGTCTCTAATAATAATAATAATAGCAGTGTCTTGAGGCCACAGTGAGCTGTGATCATGCCACTGTACTCCAGCCTGGGCAACAGAGCCAGACTCTATGTCTAATAATAATAATAATAATAATAATAATAGCAACAACAACAACAACATCTACATCATAGGATTATTGTAAGAACTAAATTGGGTAATTCATGTAAAATAATACTCAAAAGTGTATGGCATATACCTGCTGACATATACTTAGTATTCAACAAATAGTAGCTCTTGTATATATTCTTAACTCTTGACAATTGAATTTGTTGAACTTCAGTGTGTGTGTGGGGTATGTGTGCATGTTTAGTGATTATATGAGTTGTGTTTTGCTCTGGCTAAAACTAAAAGTAAGTTGCCTTTCTTGCACATGTATGAGCTAGTGGGAGGAGGAGGTCCTCGAGTGTGGCATGACACAAGGGGAGTTATTCCAGGATTAAAATACATCTGCTATGGGGACAATCTACATGCAGACAATCAAGTTGGTGTGATACGCTTTATGAATTGACATCTCATAGGCCTTTCCACAGACACTTTCACCCTAATGTAAAACATCACTGAGAGGTGAAATGACTAGAGGCTGTGGCCAAATGTCCTTAATTCACTGGTCTCCCTCTCCTTCTCCGTCCAGTGCATGGGGATATGCATGGCTCCTCTGTGTTGTAGGTGGGACTGTTCATCCAGAATACTTCCAGAAATTGGACCTTCTCCATACATCCACCATCAAGGAGCCGCTTTATACCACAACTTCCTCACTTTTGGAAATGTGTGTCTCCCAACCATCCCAAGTTTAATGGGGCTTTAGCTGTGTTTAAGGTTGGCTGCAGGTGGGGGATGGAAGGAGGGGGTTTCTTTGATCCATCTAATGAATTAATGAATTAACCAGAGGTGGGGTTCAGAAGCCAGGCTTCTTACTGTTGCTGAAGCAGGGCTGATTATGAGCTAGCCTAACTGCTGGAAAAATGCAGCTTCATGCTAGAAGAATTAGGGACATGGCCCAGTCCATTCATCTTCCCTAATCGAGTTCTTGGGAAATACACACGTAGATTAGCCCCTAACAATGACCCCCGGCTGATTGCTTGGAGTACCCTCCGCCGTGCCCACAATGGTACTGACTAGCTCTTTATGTCCTGCACAAAGGAAGCCCCAACTCCCCCTTGTCCTCCTCTGCCCTGTCTCCCCCACCCCCATCACCACCACCCCTTCCCTTGCCAGTGGCTGTTGAAGTCTTTTCTGCTTTTCTCCCCAGACTCTGAAATAAACAGTAAATAAAAGCTAACCTCACCTGGACTTATTAGGAGGAGCTGGGCAGTTCCAGAGGAATTAACTTTGGAAAACAAGGCCATAAACCCCTTAGCAGCGTGTGGGCAGGAGCTTAAGAAAACGCTGCCAATCTTTGTTTAGCGGTGATTATCAAGATCAATTTAATATTGGGAAGTTTGCATAAAAAGCATTCTCGGTCAGAGGGGAAACAACAAATACCAATTAATTATCCCCATGGCTGCCCTCTGCTCGCCAGCACCTCAGCACATCAGCCACCTGGTCTGTGTAACTGGCAGTCAGACCTTATTGGGTGCCACCAGGCCATTTATAGGGTCTAGAAAGGTGGAGGAGGGGCGGAGAGGGAGGCAAAGCCTAGTCTGTCAGGGGACTCTCCAGAGGGTTTGTTAATTTGCCCTGGATGCCAGTGCCCAAAGCCCACTCTCTATAGGGTCTGACTTTATTTCTTCTGGGAGCTAAATGGCTTCTACCTCCGCCTCTTAGATGCAGAATTCAGTCTCAGGGAAGGATTAAAGGCAGACTGCAGGCTAAGATGGGCTTTGATTGTTTTCAAAAAGATCACACTCTACAACAATAATTACAAATGAGCTGCAGGCAGAAAACACTGGACAAGGAGTCAGTGGCCTGAGTTCTAGTCCTTACCCCTCCACTTAATAGCTGTATCACTTTGAGCCTCAGTTTCCTCTTCTGTAAAATGGGGACCAATATATCTGTCCTGCTCACCTCACAAGGTTGTGAAGATCAGATGATGTGAAGAATGTGAGAAGATTCTGAAAACTACAAAGCAACATGTTGAGAGAATTGCTTGAGCCCGGGAGCTCCAGGCTGCAGTGAGCCACGATCACGCCACTGCACTCCAGCCTGGGCGACAGAGAGGGACCCTGTGTCTAAAATAAACAAACAAACAAATAAATAAATAAAGTGATATGTGAACGCTGTAAAGTGCTATTAACTTTCATTAATTTAGCTTTTTTCTTAAAATAAAAACTAATTTCTGACTTGAATTAGTTCAGTTTCTATCTCCTGCAGTCACATGCTTGCCCTTATTTTGGTTTGCCTTTATATAGTTTTATGAAAAACAGATACGCCCATCACGGGGAATTAACCACTGAATGATCCTTGAGGAACTGGCTTGTCCTGGGCAAATATCCTTCTAACACCAATTTAAAGGTGGAGGATCTGAGGGTATGTGTTTTCCCTCTTCCTTTGTCTTGTCTTCCAGACTGGATGTTAAACTCCACCAGGCCAATGGCCCTGGCCTTTCCCAATTTGTTTGATGCCCACGACCTGGCCCCCGACGGTTGCCTTGCCCTCTAGAGGGACGCAGCAAACGCTTGTCTGAACGTAAGCGGGATAAAGAAGACGCCCCTGCTATGGAGATCAGAGCGCCTACTGAAAAGGAGATTTTAGGGATGTTGTCCTCTAGGTTCTTGAGCTTTCATAGGAAAGCATTTTAATTCACGGTTCAGGCCACCAGCTCAGGGAAGGCCAAGCGCCCTTCTCGGGTCTCGCCTCAGATTTGAGGGGTGCGATGTTCACAGCGCCATTGTCCATCCGCAATGCGGCAGGTGAAACACACTCACCCTATCAAATCATCTTTCCGAGTGGCCGATCAGTCGCTGTGGGCCACGGAAGCCTCGAGGGGATCCAAAGGAGAAAGAACTGCGAGCCTGCAAGCCGATTACTCCTGAACCCTCGGAGAGGCGCGGGACCTTCTCCCCGGGAGAAGGTCCTTCCCCAGTCAGTTCTGGGCCATATCCTTGGTCCGGAGAAGTGTTGGAGGGAGGTGGGAGTGCGACACCGCTGTAACTTCAGTAAAGGATCCCGCCCTCCCCGCAGGACAATGGATGAGAGCGAGGAATTTCTGGTGGGTCTCCTGCGGGACCTAAGCCCGGCTGCACATCCGACTCCGGGCTCCCAGTCTCCTGCTGGGCAATCGGGCGCTAGAGATCACCGGACTTGCGGACAGAAATGGCCCTGGGGTTGGCGCTGGGGGCAGGGAGGAGGGCTGCCGGCGCTCAAGTCCGAGGGGACTGAGAGGAGTTAAAACAAATGTAGACGGACAAACTAAACGCGAGGTCTGGGACTTCGTACAACCGAGCCAAGGAAGGAGTGGGTCCAGAAAAGGGAGACAGCGAGGGGAAATTCAAACTGGGACTAGTGCGGGGCTGGGAAGCCTTCGGCCGGGCCTCCGCGCTTCCAGGGGACGCAGGCTAGGGTGGCGGCCCCGCCGAGGTGAGCCAGAGGGGGCGAGACGGGCGAGTCTGAAGTTGGGAAGGGGTGCGTCCAAGGAGCCAGGTGACCCCCAGGGGTTAGTCTGAAGTGAGAGGGCAAGCCCAAGGTACAGGGAGACAAGGGGAGAGATGAGCCCAAGGGCGTCGGCCCCACTGAAGCAGGACTAGGGGTGCGCCGAGACCAGGTTCCCCGGCGTATTAAGCATCGCGCCGCCGATCCCCGGAGTGTGTTTGTAAAGCTTAAAACGGATCAAGAGGTGGGAGGGGAATGTTCCTAGTGCTGGGGGTGGCCAAGAGAGGACCCTGTGGCTGGTCGGGGCGAGGACACGCCCCTCTGTGGAGGGAGGGGCCTAGAGAAGGGGCTGGGTCCCGGGCGATAGCTGAGGAGCCGAGGGCCAGTTGGCTCCCGGCCTTTAGCTCCAAGAGCTCCAGCTACCCTGAGCCCGAACTTCCGACTTCTGGGACTAAGGCGGCAGCGGGCTGAGCGCTCGGCCACCCCCAGAGTGCGCAGCCCGGGTGGGCTTCACCCGCAGAGCTTAACTTAGGGTCCGGACCCTTCGGGTTGCACCGCCACACTGGGAAAGAGCCGGCTTCGAGCCTCTCCTCTCTGTCTCCAAAGCGCCCTCCCGCCTCCCGGCGCCCCCCATGCACCTGCCGGGCTGCGCGCCAGCCATGGCCGACGGGAGCTTCTCGCTTGCGGGCCACCTGCTCCGCAGCCCAGGAGGGAGCACCTCGCGATTGCACAGTATCGAGGCCATCCTGGGGTTTACCAAGGACGACGGGATCCTCGGCACCTTCCCCGCGGAGCGGGGTGCCCGGGGCGCGAAGGAGCGGGATAGGAGGCTAGGCGCGCGGCCCGCCTGCCCCAAGGCGCCCGAGGGAGGCACCGAGCCCTCCCCGCCGCCAGCTCCGGCGCCGGCCCCAGAGTATGAAGGTGAGTGCTCACCCCTGGCTGTGCGAGGCCCTTCGGGCGCCCGAGCTTAGGAGGTTGCCAGACGAGAGTGTCCCTTCCTTAACTTTTATTAAGGCACCTGGGCGCGGGGTTGGGGACTCCGTTTATGGCGGGAGCTTCCAATTTGCATTCAGAGAAAGCTTAGGACCCCATTGCCGCCCTCACCCCGGACCTCCCCGAGCCATCTCGGAGCCCGCAGGCGGGCTGGCCAGCGCCCACGGCGAGGAGGGGTCGCCCCAAAGGTGTTCTGGGGAGTGTATCTGACCCTCCCGGGCCTCGTCGCCCCAGCCCCTCGCCCCTACTGCCCCAAGGAGCCCGGGGAGGCACGGCCGAGCCCAGGACTGCCCGTCGGGCCAGCCACCGGCGAAGCGAAACTGTCAGAGGAGGAACAGCCCAAGAAAAAGCACCGGCGGAATCGCACGACTTTCACCACGTACCAGCTGCATGAGCTGGAGCGCGCGTTCGAGAAGTCCCACTACCCGGACGTGTACAGCCGCGAGGAGCTGGCCGGCAAGGTCAACCTACCCGAGGTCCGGGTCCAGGTAAAAAGCCCAGGTTGAGAAACTGGGATCCGGGAGGGCCCGAGGCCCAAACTGCAGCCAATGCTTCTCGGAATTCACGGGCGTTCACGCGTTTATTACTGTCCTTCCTCGACTTGGCACGCCCAGAATCCCAAGGGAGAGGCACAGCTCTTCGATGTTCCCTGTGCACCACCCTTCAAGTAGTATGTTCCTGTTTGTAGTAAGAGCTCCCCTTTGGGGGTTTCCCTCTTTTAAGCTAAAAAGAGAAGAAGGGAATGACTTGCAAGATGAAGAAGCCGACAGCTCATTAGACATAGCCAGGAAGGGGTTGGGGATTGCTGTGTGGAAAGGGAATGCAGGTAGGGATCGAAGGTGACAGGATTGGGGCCGCCAATGCCACCCTCGTCACTAACTGCGTATACTGAGTTGAAAACGAAAATCCTGTTTCCTTGCAAAGGGCCTGGCACCTCGCAGTTGAAACTTTGGTCGGATTTGTTTAAGAAACTGACTTTTCCTTTTCTGGTGCACATCCAACCAAACTTCTCGCTGCAAAGGCCTTTTCTTTTTATTGTAAAGAGGTTTTCGCTTTAATTAAAGCTGAATTATCTTTAATCCCTGATCATTAAAATATTTGAAAGCCTTAAATATTTGCTAGTCATCTGTGAAAAATCTGGGAGGATTTCCAAATTGGGAGAGTTTACAGAGGGCTGAAAGACAGACTTTGGGAACAAATTTCACTGCCTCTGAAAGGCAGTGGAACTAAGATGGGATTTTTGTGTGTGTCTAATAAGTTAGATTTCCAGGAAATGAGAATACTCAAGTGTTCGGAGCTTTTATCCATGTCTTAAAAGTAAAAGAGGACAAGCTGCTGCTTTTTTTTTTTTCTGCTTAGTTTAAGAGTTGAAAGTAATGAGTAAAAGTCATGGCTTAAAAAATATAATTCCCTAATGTGACTTGGGATTAACCAGCAAGGACAGTTCAATGTCTCCTAATTTGGGGCAGTAAAGCTGCAATGATTTCACTGAAGGGATGGAAATTTTAGCACCTGCTTTCAAGAAAGGAAAGATGGGAGAGGGAACGAATACAAGAGAAAGAAGACAGGCAAAGCCTCCCAGTACCCTACAGAATTCAAGCAAAGCAGACTCAGCTCCCTGGGGACCTGAGCTCACCTGCATCCTCCCTCATTACTTGTTCAGGGGTTTTGGCTTCTTCTCTAAGTTGTGAGATTCTTGAGAACAGTGTCTGTGACTTCTTTGTGACCACAGGGCCAGCACAGCACCCAGCATATGGCCATTCTTAACACATGACTATGATGTAATCAGATGGTAGAGATACCAGGCAGGATCTCCCGCATGGAGGGCAGCAGTAGAGCATTGCCATAACCGACCTCAATCCTTCTGTCTATAACCCGGGACACTGGATCTGAAGGCTACAGCTGACAGGCAGGGAAGCTGAGGAGGTGGTGGGACAGGATCCCTCACCAAAATCAGTGTTTCTTTTCTCTACTGTTGGCAAATATCTAATATTTAAGGAAGACTTGAGGCCTTTGATATGCAGCTGAATCTTTTCTGGGATGGTACAGTGTACTTACACTTTTGTTGTTTCTCTTTTTCTCCCTAATTACAACCTCTCACACACTTGCCCTGCGGTGCTTACGTGCTGAATTGCTGTTCTTTCAGCTGTCCTAAGGAGTCCCCCGCCTTTATTGACTGAAAACTACTTTCTCCCTTCTGAGGTTGTGACAATCTCCCCATTTCCTTTCATAAATATAGCACTAAAGCCACCAGTTTGGCTGAAGTTCTTTTGTGTTCTCTACTAAACGGATTCTCTGTCTTGCCTATGAAGGTGGAACTGGTAGTAAAAATGTAATTACACATTTTCCAGCGCTTTTATCAAATCAGTAATGAAGTTTCATTGGAAGAAACCCGACGTTACTCTTGGCAAGAACTTTGTATATGTAAAGAAGAAGAAGCAAAAAACCTTGTCATTGAGCTAAGGTCTTAGGGTAATGTCAAAATAAGCTTTGTAATGTAAAAGTAGATATAATAGACTGGAATGATTATACCCCTTGAAAGTAATAAGAAACAGCAGAAATAGTAAGCAGATATTAATTAAATAAATATGAAAATATTAAAGCAGCAATTCAAATATGCTTGGGGCAAAATAAACCCCACTTGCTCCTATCTAGTTATCATAACCAGTAATCCGTGAAAATA